GAAACTGATGGCAAAGAATTATCTGCCTCTTGCTCTAAAATGCAGTGGAGTAGGAGGGATGTGGATGTTGCAGGAGAAACAATGCCAAACATTGCTGTCTGAATGGTGTCACTGTAATGCTTGAGTGGTTCCAGGTCCCTTCTATCCCTTGCTGTGGTGGTTTTGGACTGTCCAAGTTTTAAAAATATCCACTCCTGGCCTCTGTTTAGCCTCTCTCTTTCCCACAGACCCAGGAAAGTGTGGTAATCCTTGGAGAAATCCACATTAAATTAAAACAGCGTGCAAGAATCTGTTTTCCCAGTTCTACCCCTTGAGATGGAAGCAATGGCAGCATCCATAAACAGCAACCTGAAAATCATCTGACACCTATGGATCCCCAAGGCTCTTTGGTGAGGTACAGAGCCTCGTGCGAGAGCAAAGTTAATGTGTGACTTGTTAAAGGCAGAGCGAGGAGAAGGACAAAGGTCTCTTGGCCATGTGCCTGTCCCACTCTCTCCCCCTGTTTCACTATAACTCAAAACTTAATAATATTTGCTTGTTATTAAGCATTAACATCTTAACCTTAGCAACCTCATTCCCTTCTCTCTTCATACTCACTTCTGAATGCTCTGCACTATATTATATTCCTATACTAATTCTGTATTTTTTTGAAATACCACCAATTTCAAGTGATTGTCTTTTTAACTAGCCAGTTTCTGAACACTGAGACTTTTTATGTGGAAGACAGCCAACATCCATCTTTGCAGAAGTCAGGCCCTAAACTAAGAACCAAAACCACAAACCAGCCCTGAAATCTTTGGCTTACTCCATCCCTAGGCATGTCGTTGCCTAGAAAAGGCTTAGTCACAGCAATTTCTAGATTGCTAAGCTTCCCACTGTCTAGTTTCTTGGCTAAGGCACCAGAATTCTCGTGTTAACAACTTATGGAACACTTCTCTGTCTATACAGGAGCATCCTCTTTAAGGTGGTGACATAACCATACACTCAGCTGGTTTTTGTTGTGTTTTTATTTTTCTTTTTGGGAGGAGAGGGATGTGTGGAGAGGGCTCTTTTCATGTCTGCTCTTCACAAATGCTTTCCTTCAACCCTTGCAGCTTCCACAGCCCCCCTGCACTGCCCTGCTTGACTCTGAGCATCCTATTAACCCAGCAGCTTGGCTTAAAAAGCAGCAAGTCAGCATTTTGCTGGCAAGATGTATTATTTTATTAATAAGAAATATAAACTCTTGCAAGCCTGCAGTAGGAAAGAGGGTAGAGAAAGCCAACTAAGTCAACGAGAAGCACTTTTTCCCCATCTCCAGGCAAGCTCACTAGGACACAAGACATCATATCCCACATTATCCAGCAGCCCTCTGAATGAACACTTCCCTCCCTGTGACAGAACGTAAACTGCTTTAGCCTCACTCTCCTCCTGACAGACCTTCTAATTATCTCAGCTGTTTACAGCGCTCAGGCCCTCTGCTACCAATTTCTCCATTATTCTGACAGTCAACAAACTAGACCTATTAGAGCACAGCACAATTCTTGCCCAAGGCAGGAACTTTGTGAGACCACAAATCGTCTCGGTATTAAAAGTCGGTGCATAAGAACTGCCCTCAGCTTTAGCGCTAAATTGCTGGTTTGGAGACATTCATTGCTGTATATTGTATTTCCACTATATTCTGCTTTAATAGACTTCGTGCTGAAGTGTGTAAGAAGAGTTTTAAAGCCTGAGGTGGCAAGTAGAGCTTTTTTTTTTATTTTTTTTTTTTTTTTTACCATTTTATATATTTTTCCATCTTTTTTGTTTGTCACCTTATATTGCGAGGTTGGCTCACATACATAAAACAACACTGCAGTCATGCAGGAATATCTAACAGTTAGTGGAAGGCAGAGATTTTACCATTAGAAGTTCAACAACAGGGTTTGGGCAATACAAGATTTGTTATTCTTTGATTTCTACAGGGCCTCAGATTTAAGATTATTTCTTTCGTGCTTTGGAATATTTTATTTTCCTATTTGGCAAAGCTAACTTGGTTTTGTTCTTCTAATCTTCTGGTATCAAGTAGTTAGGGCCCAGTAAGAATAATAGGTAGAGAGGGAGATTACAGTTTCTATTAATAATTTGCATCCATTTGTTTAAGCAATGTTTATTCAGCAAGCTCTTAGAAAATTGTGTTTATTAATTAGTGTACACAACACTCTATAAAGTATTTATGTATGGCCTATCTCCAGATTTCTCTTAGTTTGAGTTAGTACAGACCCAGGATTTATCGTGACTAAACACATAGGAACCAGCTGATTCAGATATGCATGTATCTGAAATCTGGAATAATTTTCAGTATTGTCCTAAATTCAAGGTGTCTGCAGGTTCCAATCTCCCAGGTTACCTACCAAGGTGTAGAAATAATTCCAGATGTCTAAGATGTACATTATTATCAAGCTGATATCAATGACTAATACCACCAATTAGCCCAAACCACAAAAGCTCCAACTATATTTTCCTGAGCAATTTGATTGACCCTAACACAGCTAGGAATACTCTTACAGTAAATTTCATTCAGCCTTCTATTTGCCAAGCAAAAGTGGTTACATTTATGAAAAATTAAAGCTTGTAAATTGAAAAAAATCTTTTAAAGACCAAACCAAAGAGAAAATACGTAAAATGTACATACACACCACTTCATCTAAATGGTGTGTTGGAAGAAACGTGTGCTTTCACTGAACTATGTTACTTCTGCCTGCTGGAATGCTGGAATATAAAATTACATGTTATATTAGATTCTACTGAATGTGAATTCTTCCTTCGAGGCATTTATAGCAAAATAAAATATTTTCCAATGAAGACTCTTTGAAAAGTGACATTTCTTTCAGCAAAAACTTCCTGAAGACAACTTCCAGTTTAGAGATGCAGGGCTGGGTGAGTTGTCACCTAGTCAATCACATGAAGTCGTGTCCTGGACATGGACATCATGGAACAACAGAGGGAAAGCCTTAGCACAGGATTTGTGGTAAAGACTGCTGCATTCCTGTGAGATCAGTGTCAGTACTAAGGCAAATCTAACTCAAAAACTGACCATTTAATAGCTTTAAAGTGTTCAAAGTTCTTAAGTTCTTCCAAACACAGCTTTGAAAGAGAAATGTGTCTGTGTTGTGCCGTGGTTTCACATTTCATCTTGCAGGATGTACTAATTTGGGCTAAATACTTCTGTGACTTAGTCAAACAAAACTTAAACCAAATTGTGGAGCCACATTGCTCTAAACACAGGTAACTCTGGGAGAACTGTGTGAGATTTGAAGTTTTGCTACTGGGATTAGGAGCAGCTCTAATGATTTCCACAGAACTTGTGTGAAATGTAAATTAGCAGAGTCTAGAGTCATTTGTCATCCTTTTAAATCTGTTTCCAAAACTTGATTTCCTGTTCAGAAGAAGGGCATGTCCCTGGGTCAAAGCCAAGCTGGGAGCAATCAGGCCCTAGATGGCATTTCTACTTGGCTTTGGATCAGATTCTCCAGTGGGATACCCTGGATTTCTGCCTGCCAAAGAACTTCTTCTATGCACAGAAGACTCATGTCCACAGTCATAACCATGTCTGGAGTATCTGTAATGTAGCAATGTTATTTTTCTCTACCCTGACAGAAAATACAGGTTTCTGCTGTCAGAAACAAGAAGGAATCAGAGTAAAAAATGAAAATGCCAGAACTCCTTGGACCATGATGGATGGAACTGGTGTCATGCAATGGGAAATAAACAGAATCATTGAATTTTAAGATGAAAGCAAGAAAGATTGGTTAATATTAGTTTTAGGGGGCCTGTATATAAATAAATGTATTAAAATATTCTTTTAAATAGTCTAATCAGATATTGCACTTTAATGGTTACTTATTTTTTAATCTGAAAAAGAAAACATGTTGACAGGGCATACAAGCCCTTTTCTAAGTTGACCTTAGTGAATTAATTTACTGGTAACTATTTTCAAAGTATGTCTTAAGTAAATAACACATGAAGTAATTGAAAGAGAATTTCAGGCTTGCAACCACAACTATTTGTAGTGTAGACCTAAGTCTAAGCTTTGGGTTCATCCAATTATGGTATCAAATCGTTGCCATGTATACGATCAGCCCCAAGCGTGTGGGATGACAGTCAACACATCAGCCAGAATATTTGTAGGCAAGTCATTATGCACTGCAATCTTTTCAGCTCTCAAAAAACTAAGCAGGAATTGTTCTCAAATCTTGGCAAAACAGGCAAGCTGCTTAGTAACATGGTTTGGATATCAAGGATATAATGAGCCTTCTTCTGAGACCTTGCAGAGCACCAGGGAAGTGCTGGCATTGGAGGCTGTTTCAGACACAGCCTGTTTTAACTGCTGGTCAAGCCTCTGTGGCACTTTTCACTGCTGAAATATTAATTTTGGTCACCTAGCCGGTACTATATTCAGAAAATGGTAGTTTTTCTATCTAAAATTGCTGCTCCAAAATATAACTGGAAAATATATTAATTCCTCCCTCTTTCATGCCCTAGACCACTGAGAGACAGTTTTGGCTTTATGATTTCTGGTCTGGACCCCTTTCTAGCTCCAAAATTAATTAAACCAAACCTGTGGGATAGACTTAAATTCATATTGGCTTCTGGAAAAAAAAAAAGTAACCCTTGTCTATTATGGGAGGCTGGCAGCAACAGATTACATATTTAGGGAGCCTTGTTCCTGGTCGTTTCTGCAGCTTTCATTAAAAAGATATGCATGCTAATCGTGGAAATGGGAGGCAACCTAGAAAAAAGATGTATTATTATGAGAGGCTGGGACATTGTATTTGTGCATACAGCAGGGAAAACTATATTGAAATGAGTGCTAAAAACAGCCCAAGAGCGATGTGGGGAGCGACGAGGAGGAAAATCCAGAGCCGGAGCATCGTAAGGGGAGCAGCGGAGTTGGAGTCAGAGATGCAGAAAGGAGAACAGGTGAGGGTCAGAAAGATAGAAAGGAGAGAGAGCAGCACTGGGAGAAGACATGAGAAATTAGATCAGAATCTAAAAGCACTCAGGAGAGCAGGGAAAAAGGCAGAAATTAGAACAGGAGCTAAGAGGAGAGCCGAAGAGGCAATAAAAACTCAAGGAGGAGAAAGAAAAACTGCAAGATGAAGAGAGGAGGACAGGAAAAAAAGGGCAGGAGATAAATATGAGGCAACATAAAAGGGCCTTGATCTCCAGTTTGTAAAGATGACGTGATCTGTGGTGTGAAAGAAAAGAAATACTTTGCATTTTTTGAAATGGCCACGAAGAGAGGACCAGGCTACATCTCCGAAATCAATATCACATTTTATGCCTGCTGCACCCTTCACGAAGAATCAAGACAACATTGATTCAAGTAAGTAATATTTCATTGAAAACTGATCTTTGATTGCACAGCTGCAAGGGACTGGCTCTGAAAGTCCCTCGGTGGTGGCTGTGCTGAACAGGTGTCGTTCTCGGGATTGTGTCAGAAGTGATGTGGCTTCATTCCCGGTCCGTGGAACACGTGGAGAGCAGAGGACACGTCACTTTAGTCTTTGAGAGCAGAGGATGCTGCATCAGAAGGGCTGGCCTGCTCTCTAGGGTCATTAGTCTGTGTCTGTTAGTGTGTGGTGAGCAGCCTGGAAGGTTTGCTTTGTCACTCTATTCATTTCAAGCGGTGAAACGATTATTTTAAGATAATTAGAAAAGCCTTAGACCGATATTTTAAATCTGCTTTCCTGATCAATTGTAGCAGTGTTAGAGCTGGTGTGCAGTCATGAGGCACAGGACCATCTCCCCAGACTGCAAGGCCAGGCTCTTGTAATGGAATTAACTGTTTCTGAGACATTTTTTCCCAGTATTTGAGAATGTAAATTCTCCCCTTGATTTTATTTCCCTGGCCACTAATTCTCTTGGGAAAGCAGATTCACTGTTTTGCTAGCTAGTCTTGATGTGTTTCAGCTTCTTTATACCACAAAGGGTGACAGTGAAACAGTTTATAGCAAAATCTGTGTTGAAATTCCCTTTTGGAAATTTACTTTCTTATCTTGATAAAAATCAAAACCTGTGGGTAAAAGACTATGCTGATGGGGAGGGGGGCACAGAAGATTTTCAGACATAAACCTCAATGTAGCTCTTGAAAACTGGTTTGTCCCAGTCAGGATATTTACATCTGAATTTAGCTGGAGCACTAATGCTTTATATACTCCCACTGAGGAGTGTCACACAACTCAGGGACACTGCAGATTTATTTCTGCCATTTTTCTTGGTCCTTTTGGAGAAATGTAGCCTCAAGCCCTGCACTTACAAATTCTGGTGATTATTTACCACCAGGAAAGCTGCAGTGCAGGATTTTATTGTCACAAAATGAAATTATTTGGGCCATCTCAGAAAAGTCAAACTTGGAATTCTGTTTCAACAAGGTAAAAATATTTTGTTTCAAATGGCAATGCATAAACAAAATATCTCCACAACATTTCAAACTGCCAATGAGGAAACAAGGACTCCACATTCCATGTGGGGATGAAGGCAAGTGTTGAGATGCTGACTGTGACTCCATAAATCAGTTCCTGTGTTAACTCAATTCTCCACTGGTACAGCATCTCAGAACTGCAACTGAAAATTCATTTTGAGAATTAAGTAAACAAAAACACATCTGAGGGAATGATAGGTGAGGCCTGTGAACCTGATCTCCAGGATAAGCCTAATTTCAGGAGCGTGTGGTGGTCCTACCTCCAAAAAAGCTGGTCTAATGGAAGAGCTGAGTCTTGGCCTTTGCAGGAAACCTTGAGACTTATTTTGGGAAGCTTTTAGGAATGCAGCCCTCAAGCAAAGCTGAGGCAGTGTGTTACAGCAGGGCCACAGGAATCACTGGCAATTTCGACTCTGAACATTTATCCCCATGGTCAAGAGAGAAATACGATCTTGGAGAGCATGTTATTGTGAATAACAGCAGTTTGGCTCTGGTGGTGCCAGTGAGGATGATGGGGAAGGTTCTCTGCAGTCAGGTGGTGATCCCAAGCCAGGGGCTTGGCAAAGGAAAGCTCCTGGTGTTTGTGCAGTTTTGGTCAGCAAAGGCTGCAAAGAGCTTCCAGTGGAGCAGTTCTGGTGTCTCAGCAGACAGTGGTGACCACTCTGAGGAAACCTGGTTTCTCAGCAGCAGGGAACCCTGAATCACCACCTCCTTGGAATAAACATTTTCTCCCAGGCCTGGAATACCCAAGAACTCTTTGAGTTTGTGTACAATCAGGAGCTGGTCTGTCAGAGTGCAGTGTCTCTCTTTAAATATATCACCCCACAGGACAGGCAATTTTCTTTTCAAGTGAAATCCTGAGCATCACACAACTTCTCTCAACTTAAAGACAGAATGATAGTAATATATACACATATTTTTACAAATAGTGCATTTTTTTCTCATATATGCATGCCCATCCTTCCATTCTTTCCACACAAAGACAAAAAAAGAAATATTTTGGGTGTTTTCCTGCTATTGAGTGACAGTGCAACTACTCAGATACAGATACAGTGAATGAGTTCAAATTTCACAGTAGCACTGTAATAGAAGCAGAACAAAATATAGTAATATCCTGGTTATTATGGATTTCTGATACATATAACTCTAAGCCATCTAACTTGCTCCAGAACTTGAAAATTGTTCAGCAAGCAGAATTGATAACTCTTAAAAAAATGAATAATAATATCCAGTCAGATCCTTTGAGCACAGTTAAAAGACAATGTCAAAAACTAATGTACAGTTATTGTTCAATAATAATTCAAAAAATAGCTGTAGAACTATTTTGAAAGAAGGGGAATTAGGAAGACAGTTTGCAGTGTTGAAAACAATATGAAGGACTTGTGGCCTAAGAAAATACCAGATAAAATGATACTGCATAGGTGTGCACATACACATGTGTTGTGTATATGTTAAAGAGACAAAAAATTAACAACAATTGCAAAATTTATTCAGCAAATAGTGGGGGAAGATGCAATGGCTATTTGTCATGAATATAGGGTACTGATGAAAAGTGTTTGTCATATTTCTGATTTCCCTAAGCCTAATACAAATGTGGAGAAAGTGGCATGACCTGCTGAGCTGACATTAAAAGCTTTAAATTGAATTAAATTGGCAGAAACCTTCAAAAATTGTCCTGGGAGGGGAAAAAAATTTCATGACAGAACATAACAGATGTATGAAATTAAGAGCATTTAGGATACATTATCTTTGCTGTATGATGGGAAATGTTTCTAATTGTGCTCACAGGGTGCCTTTAAGATGTGTTTTTGCTTAAAAAGTACTCTTTATTATCTGTTATGGATTTTCAGCAGAAATATATAGGCAAAAGAATAAAATGCATATTAAGATATATGTTTTTTGCAACAATCAACACATTTGTTGTCATTGTTCAGTGAAGCAAACTGTAAAAGCAGTTACTGAATCTACAGGAGTGGAACAAAAAGAAAAAATCTTATTGGGCAATGAGGAACTTGTACTGTAATGATGGATATGTACTCAGGTGCTTATGGGTGGTCTTGTACTTCAGATCAGCATTGAAATGTTTGGATTTCCAGGTACATCTGCACCTTACTTCCTGTAAAGTTATTGCTCTTCTTGTCCTGTATTCTGGATGCTCACTAAATCTGGTGATTGAGAAGCAATAGGAAATGCTGCACGTGGATTTCACCATTGTTAATAATGTCTGTGCTGCCAGGCATCCCCAGCCAGCACTCAGTGTTCAAAGTCCTGCTCAGCACATAGTGAATACTGGATAAAAATGCAATGGGATTTCTCTTCTTGTTCTATAGAGCAGAATCTCAATTAGCTCTTCCTGTGTCATTTACTCACACAGATTTAAAACGTATTGAAACAAATTTCAATCAGAAGTATCTTCTAAAATTACAGCACTTCCTTTGGTGTTCACCAAGAGGTTCACAAATGGAGTTTTTCTAGCTAATGAATATGGTGTTGCAGGGTTTTTACTGCTTTTGATGCCTTCAATAGAAGTCATAATTTTAAGGCCAAGTATGACTGTCTAAACAATTCTGCTCATTTGCAGCATTGATTCTGGACCTTTCCAGATTTTTTCTCCATTTATGCTGATTTTCCATTTCCATTTCCTGATTTCCAATCCTGATGGGACTCCTTTGCTTACATTTTTTCTAGACAGAAGGAAAATTTCATCCTTGCACAGAAGACCTAGAGGTGTTTCTGGTCTGGGCTGCTACACTTGGGTTTAAGCTCCAGTGCCTCACATCCAGCCAGAGCTTTTTGTCTCGTTTTGTCAGGTCTTGTCATGCACAGCTTTTCTATGCTACATCAAATTTCTTTGCTTTGTCTCAAAATATAGAGTGTCATAGAATCATTTAGGTTGGACCAGACCTTTTAGGTCACTGAGTTAAAGCATTATTCTGACACTGCCAAGCCCACCACTAAACCACATCCCCTGTGAACACATCTCCATTGTCTCTTCTTGGCATCCTTGCCTTAGATGTGGAAAAAATCTAGACTGTGGTGATTTTCTGGTGACCTCACAGATTTTCTCCTTATCACAGTTCATGAGTTGGGAGTTACAGCTGTAAAAGCCATGTCAATCCACTTAGAGTAAATATTCAAAACCACATGGCATCTGCTAATCTTGGATGGAAATAGAATAAACTCTTTCTTTGTTGTAACCACAAGAACATCGAATGTTTACTAATATCAGAACTGGTTCAGCCCCTTAATAGTGAAAAGTGACAAGACATAGATTATTATCTCTGACATAAATTTGAGCAGGAAAAGATTCTTTGCAATGGAAACAAACACTAATGGAATAAAAATGACCCACGTTGTCCAATGGATGTCAGACCTAGGGAGTCCAGGATGACTTAGAACCATTCGGTTTCCATCACAGAAAGCAAATTGGCTGAATGAAATAACCTCTCATTCAGTTCTATATTTTTGTCACCAGCAGTAAAAATAAATAAATAAAACGGTACAAAACCACTTTCCTAACTTTCTCCAAATGAAATCACCCAACTGTGTGATCATGTTTCAGGTCCATTGCTCAAAATCAGAAAGAAGAAAATAAATCAATTAAAAAAAGAAAATTACATGATCTAACTCCAAATTAGGATTATTCTGTTGCAGCCACATAACCTGCATTGTAAAGTCTGTGTTTTAATTCTCTTAGAGAATTTCCACGAGTAAAAGGAATATGCAATGAGTAAATAATCTATGAAATATTGTACATGTAAAAGATGAAGAAGACAAATATTTTTTAGAGTGAAAAATTGGTTTCAAAAGCAACACTAGAAAGAAACTGCTAAAAACCTAGTCAGAAAGTGGAACAGTTAAACAGATAAAAGGCTGCTAGCTGGGAACAGAGATCCAATTGC